CAAGAACTGATAGCACTGAAGGCACTGGCAGAAAAACAAGGCTCCAGGAATTGACGTAATACCAATTGAGTTGTTTCAACAAATGGATTCAACACTGGAAGCACTCATTTGTCTATGCCAAGCAATTTGAAATATAGCTACCTGGCCAACTGACTGGAAGAGATGCATATTTGTGCCCATTACGAAGAAAGATGATTCAACAGAATGCAGAAATTATCAAACAATATCATTAATATTACATGCAAGTAAAATTTTGCTGAAGATAATTCAAAAACAGTTGTAGCAGTACATTAACAGTTGACTGCCAGAAGTTCAAGCCAGATTCAAAAGAGGATGTGGAAGGAGGAATATAATTGCTGATGTCAGATAGATGTTGCTTGTAAGCAGGGAATACCAGAAATATGTTTACCTGTGTTTTATTTACTATGCAAATTTTATTCAACTGTGTGGGTCGTAACAAGTTATGGATAACATTGTGAAGAATTGGGAGTTCCAGAACACTTAATTGTGCTCACGAGGAAGATGTACCAAGAGGCAGTTGTTTGAACAAAACAAGGGGATACTGCATGGTTTAAAATTAGGAAAGGTGCGCTTCAGGGTTGTATCTCTTCACCATACATATTCAGTCTGTATGCTGAGCAAATAATCCGAGAAGCTGGACTACATGAAGAAGAATTGGGCATCAGGATTGGAGGAAGAGTCATTAACAACCTGAGATATGCAGATGACATGACCCTGCTTGCTGAAAGCAAGAGGACTTGAAGCATTTACTGACGAAAATCAAAGATTACAGCCTTCAGTATGGATTACACCTCAACCTAAAGAAAACAAAAATCCTCACAAGTGGACCAGTAAGCATCATCATGATAAACGGAGACAAGAATGAAATTGTCAAGGATTTCATTTTACTTGGATCCACAATCAACACCCATGGAAGCAGCTGTCAAGAAATCAAATGACACATTGCATTGGGCAAATCTCTAAAATACCTCTTTAAAGGGTTAAAAAGCAAAGAAGTCACTTTGAGGACTAAGGTGTACCATGATATTTTCAATCGCCTTAGATGCATGGGAAGACCAAAGAAGAATTGATGACTTTGAATTGTGGTGTTGGTGAAGAATATTGAGTGTACTATGGACTGCCAGAATAAAGAACAAATCTGTCTTGGAAGTACAGCCAAAACACCCCTAATAAGTGAGGATGGCAAGACTTTGTCTCCCGTACTTTGGACATGTTATCAGAAGGGACCAGTCCCTGAAGAAGGACATCATGCTTCGTAGAGGGTCAGCAAAAAAGAGGAAGACCCTCAACGAGATGGATTGACACAGTGGCTGCAACAGTGGGCTCAAGCATAGCAACAATTGTGAGGATGACACAGGACCAGGCAGCGTTCTGTTCTTTTGTACATGTAACACCTAACAACAATGACATTGGAAATTAGATTTGAACATAAAAAGCTGAGCAGTTGAAGGTTGTCATTCAGCTAGTGTCTAAACTCTAGTGTTTTAGGTTACATTAAAAGTTACTCCTATAAGAAGGATGTAGAACAAAATTCTAACTCACAAAAAAAGACCAGACTTACTGGACTGACAGAGACTGGTGAAACCCCGAGAGTATGGCCCTTGGACACCCTTTTAGCTCAGTGGTGAAGTCACTCCGGAGGTTCACCATTCAGCCGGGGATTGCACAGCCGCATAAAGCAAAACAGGACTAATGAGGCACAGCAGTCCAGGGACAAGAACTAGTAGGCAGGAGGGGACAGGAAAGCTGGTGAAGAGGGAACTCAAGGTTGAGAAGGGGCAGTGTTGACATGTCGTGGGGTTGTTAACCATTGTCATAAGGCAATATGTGTACTGTTTAATGAGAAACTATTCTGTAAACTTTCATCTAAAGTACAAAAAAAAATATGTGAGATCAAATTGACAACAGCAACTCAAAAGGTTTGATGGGAAGCCTAGGGGACAGTGAGTTGAACATAACGGTGATGGAATAATTTGGAAAAGGATAGTGAGAATAGCAGCACAATTGGAAGAATGTAACTGATGTCACTGAATTGTACATGTAGAAACTTTGAAAATGATGTAACTTTGGCTATGTATATTTTCACCAAAAAAAAGAAAAAAAGGTCCTCCAAGGTTGAGAAGGGAGAGTGTTGACATGTCATGGGGTTGTTAACCAATGTCATAAAACAATATGTGTACTGACTGTTCAGTGAGAAACTATTCTGTAAACCTTCATCTAAAGTACAATAAAAGAAATTTTAAAAAGAAAAAAAAGTTACTCCTGTAAGTGTATTTTTTCACCATTTTACATGAGTATATTTTGTGGCATATTGCTTGCTTTTCAGAACTTTTCTTGAGCCTAAATTTTGGGTTGTGTATTTAAAAGACCTTTGAAGGAGGAGGATTGCTGAAAGAAGTTAGTAAAAATTTCCATGATTTTTTCTTTTCTTTGAGGATCTAAAATTGATCCTAAAAGATTAAAAAAATTAAAACTTGAGGCTTAGTTCTCTGATTCTGGTGGGTAATGTTACTAGTTATAGGTAACTTCTCAAACACCATTCAGAGTTCCTTTGGTCTCTTTGACCTACCTTTTTCCTTTCTGTAATTACTGAATGTGGCCCGTAAAACCCATGTAGGACCAAATTCGGACTCAGAACCCTGTGATCTCGTCACCACAAAAACAGGCTGTAGGGTCGGTCCTTCTTCTCGCAGAAAGCTACCTTGCCTTGGAACTCTGTCACTCTGTAATTTATGGTGGTGCCTTTGTAGTCTTAAAGTCATACAGGACTTTTTTCTCCTGCCCTACAGAAGTGTTATAACAAATGCTTTAGATGGGGAAGGGGCCAGAGAAAATGTATGTGTGCACATAACCTATCACAGATCTAATTTTAAGGGTGCAGACATGTCCGGGTGTGCTCTGGGCAGAGAGTCTGCCTGACAACTGGCATGTTGTGAACTGTGATGGATATTCGTTTACCATGGTCGGTTGTGGTTGTAAGAAGTGAGAAGCCTGCTTTTTTGAGTGAGGTGTGCTTTACAAAAGGAGGATTGGCTAACATACTTGGCAGCAGCTGAGAGATGGATTCCCTTCCTGGTGGCCAGAGCCCGCTGTAAGGAGGCAGGTGATCCCGTTTATGAGTTAGTAATGGGAGGAAGGCGCAGATATTGGAGCTTCTGTTCACCAGGTGGTGCTGTCCTGCAGTGAATGCAGGACTGGTGACCTCACACCCGAGAGGTCAGGAACCTAGTGAAGTAAAGCAGGACTTGGAACTTGTTTGTTCTGGTTCTCACCCCCTGCTGAGAACTTGCAGTTCTAACAAGGTACCAGGCGATGCTAATGTACCTTGTTAGGGATTCCAATTCTGAGAACCATCAGTAGAGTGGTGGTCTCAAAATTTATTATACATAAGAATCACCTGAGGATCAGATTGAAGCAGAATCTACAGTTTAACAAGATCCTCAGGTGATTCTTATGTGTAATAAATTTTGAGAACTGCCGCTCTACTAGTGGTTCTCAGAAATGGTCCCGACTACCTAACCAGCAGCATTATCATTGCCTGGTGCCTTGTTATAAATGCAAATTATCAACGGGGGTGCGAACCTGATGTTGGAAGCCCTGAAGAAACCTGTGCTCAGGATCCTTGGCAGCATTTTCAAGCTGTGGCAGAACACGACCTGGGTCCTTTTTGAGGAAACATTCAACAGTTGACACGAGAGTGACCACCTGGCCTATCTACATTTATCCAGTGCGTTCTGCATGAATGGAATCTAAACTGTTTCTGAAGTTGGGGAAGACTGAACCTGTCCCCAGCATTTGTCCCTGGTTTTCTCCAAGAGAAAACGTCTTGCACTCTGTTCTCATCTTTGAAGTCCTAGGTAAGGGGGGCATGTCCTCATTAAACAGACTTAACGGGGAAGAAAGGCCTCCACTCAGCCTCTGCATGCACAAACCTGTTAGGACCCCCCTGCCCTGCCAACATGGTTTTGTTAGCTGAAACGTGACTGCACACAGTTCAGTTCCTCTTTTTGGCAATGAAGCCTGGCAGCATTGCTTCCAGAGGATTGGCTTGGGCGAGAGCCTAGTTTTTTGGTGTATTTGAGCAAGGCTAGCACCCTTGAAGAAGAACATTTTCCAGGACAGGTGTAGCAGTAAAAAGAATATTTCCCAGGGAAATATACTCTGAGTTAGTCATGGGAAACTTCTTTTGGGGATCCTTCAATCAACAAACACACACTGTGTGCCTCTGCCTGTGATGTGAGCCGGAGGGTGGCGGTGGGAATTAAGACTAGCCCTTGAGAAACTCGTTAGAAGAGGTGAAAGCAGAATGAAGTCAATGCTGAAACATAGGTTGGCAGCAAGGTGTTTGGAATGCCGAGGAAGGGTGGGAAGGGGGGCCTGCAGGTTATATTTGAGCTGTGCCTGGAGGATGACTAATTTCCATAGAGGGAGAGAGGTGTTTCAGGATTAGGGAACAGGCAGGCTAAGGTGTGAAAATAGGCAGTGTATTCGGAAATGGTGAGTAGTGTAGGGAGCTGGGCGCAGGACTGGAACCTGTAGGAGTGAGGCAGAAAGATGGGAGGGAGGTGCTCTGGATAACTTAGTTGTCTTGAAGGTTTTAGAGAGGCTCTTGGTGGATTGTCTGAACGCTTTAAAACCTTTTCATTGTGTGTTGAGCTGCAAATCTGTTAGCATCACTTGAAGAGAAAAATCTCAGAGTGGAAGCAGACCTGACACTTCAGTACTTTGCTCAGGACAAGGGGCTGTCATTCCATGTCTCCTGTCATTGTGGGCAGAGAGTATCAGAAGTAGGAATGAGCTACCCTGGGTTTGCAGATGGGTCATGTGTTTTTGCCACTGTTAAGAGCATGTATATGCATATGTCTCTTTTCTCTCCATCACTGTGCTTTCAGGGTTTCAGGGAGGCCACAGGTGGTTTTACAGAATCTCTGTGCTTCTTGCCTGGTAGTGAGTGTACTCACAAGCTTTCTGTTTTCCAGTTTTCTGTGGTCAGCTTGCCCGGAGGAAGTTTCCTGGTGCCCTCTAAGTGGGACAGCTGCTCTCTGTTGCAAGCAAGTGGAAGCTGGGGTGAGGCGAGGTGAGCAAGACTCAGGAGTATTCTGACAGACCAGGTTTTCCAAGATACGTTATTTTCTGACAGTTCTGAGGTCTCTGAAAGTAAATTGGTTTTTCAAAAGAAATTTAAGAATTATTTTTTTAAGTCACTCTCTTAGTTACTATGTTAAAGCACTCTTTCAGATAACATCATTAATAATGTGGATACTTTAGTACAGTCTCTTAAAAGCTTTTCAAATTTTATTACAGTATGTCCATTTTAGGGTTTTTTTTGGTCTCTTAAAGTGTGTAGCACAATACTTTTCCACAGAAAACATTTGATATATATTGACTTACAGCTTAATATCTTAGTCTACAATTTGCATAGAAATGTAGTTGATACAAATCCCCGGTGACACAGTGGTTGAGAGCTCGGCTGCTAACCAAAAGGTTGGCAGTTCAAATCCACCAGCCACCGCTTGGAAACCCCTATGAGGGCAGTTCTGCTCTGTCTTATAGGGTCGCTGTTAGTCGGAATTGACTCTGTGGCAACGGGTTTTTTATAGCTGATACAAAATTTTCAGAAAGCTAGCCTTTTAAATAAAGTCAGACTGGCTTTCTATTCTTTATCATTGTCATTCTCCTACCCCCGATCCCCGGTGAAAAACTCTGTAAACTTTAATTCCAAACAGCCTTCTGGCTACCAGGAGACAAACACATAAGGAAACGTTCACAGCCTTCTTCCCTCTGATTCGTAGATTGGCTTATTGGGATTATGTTAATTAAAGCTGGTTTCAGGTTCTTTTCGCCTACATTTTTCTAGACCATCCTGTTAACTTGTTCTGAGTTATCTTTGCCTCATCTCCCAAGTCTGAGATGTTTCAAGGAGGATTTTCTAGCTGTGCATGAGACTTAAGAAACTTGAAGAAAGTTGCTAAACTTCTCTGGGCTGTGATTTCCATACTATGGTCTTTTAACTGTAAATTGCAAAACAAAATACCTACTTTAAGGGGTTTGGTGAGGCTGGAGACTCCTAATGGGTAACGTTTTTGTTCTGTTCAGCTTATTTACATTCCGTGTCTCTAATGTATAGGAGCCCTGGTGGGTGCAGTGGTTAAGCACTTGGGTTCAAACACACCGGCCGCGCCACGGGAGAAAGATGTGGCAATCTACTTCCATAAAGATTTCAGCCTTGGAAACCCTATGGGGCAGTTCTGTTCTGTCCTGTAGGGTCGCCATGAGTCGGAATTAACTCCATGGCAGTGGGGAACAGGGGTATCTCTAATGTTAGCATGTAGTAGGACTCAAATATTCCCTTCTCTCCTTTAAGAGAGCAAATCGGCTGAGAACTGAGTCTGTGATATGATCTTTAGTAAGCATAGCTTGGAGGACTCTTGTTATTTACGCTCAGCTGCTTACATTTGAGGTACAGAGCAGGAATCCCCAGTAGGTCCGAGACAGGATGGTTGATTGGTGGTGCCAAAGATTCTGCCCTAGATTCTTTCTCTGTGGGTGTTGGAAATGCTCCTCCATAGTAGATGGGGGTCATGGCTAAAGCTGCTTGCAAACGTCTGTGAGTTCTTGGATCTCCGTGGGACGTGCCAGTACACTCTGCCATCTGTCCGTGTGATTTGCCAGCCACTTTCATATTGTGCAGTCACCCCTCCCTCCACCGCTTGATCATTCTTGAGAAACAGAGTGACCACATTGCCCCTGGAATGTGAAGGGATCCTCCAAAAGGCAAAGCTTCTCAACAGGGCCATGGTGGGGGTGTGCACATCAGACTTTCCAGTGAGGCTTTAAAAACTTAGGATCCTGGGACTTACCCCAGGTCTGCTGAACTAGAATTTCTGGTGAGGGTGGAGTGGGGAAGTCCCTCTTAGGTATATATTTTTTAAAAAAGCTCAAGAGGTGATGTCATTTATCCCTAGTAAAGACTGATAGCCACACATGATAGTTTGAAGGAGACATAAAAGTAGTGACCAGAAGATCAGAAGAAATCATCTGCGTAGATTCAGTAATGCTTACAAAGAGTAAGTAGTATTCTTATGGGAATTCAGAGTTCCAGAATATTCAAATCTTTTGCTGTATATGGGTGACTGTACATATAGAAGAGCTTAGGCTACTAACAGAAAGGTCGGCAGTTCGAATCCACCAGCTGGTCCTTGGAAACCCTATGGGTCAGTTCTACTCTGTCATATAGTTCTACTCGCTATGAGTTGGAATCGACTCAATGGCAACAGGTTTGTTTTTTTCTTTTTTTAATTCTAGTTATGGAGTCCCTGGGTGGTACAAATAATTAAGGCACTTGGGTGCTAACTGAAAGTTTGGAGGTTTGAGTCCACCTGGAGGTGCCTTGGAAGAAAGGCTTTGGTGATCTACTTCCAAAAAATCAGCCATTGAAAACTCTATTCTGACACACACGGGGTCTTTATGAGGTGGGTCAACTTGATGGCAACTGGCTTTTTTTTTTTTTTTTTTTTTAATTCTGGTTAATATTTGAAAAGGAGGCCTGGTGGCACAGTGGTTAAAGTGTTCTGCTACTAACTGAAAGGTTGGCAGTTTGAACCCACCGGCCACTCCATGGAAGAAGGATGTGGCAGTCTGCTTCCGTAAAGATTTACAGGCTTGGAAACCCTATGGGACTGTTCAACTCTGTCCTTTAAGGTCATATGAGTCGGAATTGACTTTTGATGGGCAATGGTTTTGGGTTTTTTGGTAACTTTGTGAAAAGTATTTGTACGTGGAATAGGGTGAAACAAAAAACAAAAAACTTTCTTACCCTGAACAGATGTTTCAGGGAATTTTTTTGAACTCTACTAACTAGTTTAACCAGTTTCTATAGCCAAGCCAAACATTCCCTTGCTGTGCTATAATATGTATCACAGAAGATTTTATAACTTAAAATTGCCTTGGACAACGTTTTCTACGGTTGTAAGTATACAAAGAATGAGGAAAATGACATCAAAGAACAATTTGCTAAATTAAACAAGAGTTTAGGCTTATTTAGAAATCCAGGTGGGCACCTACTTAAATGGAATTTTACAAAGTACGCAGGGATTTGCATGTTGAAATGAGAGTCTTTAGACCTGTGGTAACGCATTTCTCAAAGTAACACTGAAATAGCAATTTACGTATATTGCTCTTAGAGATTTATTTGACAGGAAATCTGGTTAGTAAATTTTACATTTTCCTCCTTCCAGTTTTTTTGTGAAGAGAATTAGCTAGTTTTTCTTTTCTCCTTTCCTGGGACAAACTTTAGGAAGTAGATAGGGGCTTAATAGTAAAGATCTTGTTAAATAGTTTTTGTAATGTTTAACTATGTCTCTCTTTTTGCAAATTCACTTTCCCTGAAAGAAAACCTTTCAACTCTTTGCTGTTTGATCTTTTATTAATTAGATGGGTTTTGATGGAGAATGGTGGGTTTCTGTTTTGAAATCAGAGTTTTAGAGTGTGGGAGGAAACTGAGCGATGACCTATCACCTGGTTTCCGTTGCTTCAACAACACAGAAACAGCTCTTGTTGAGATCACAAATAACCTTTGATAGTTGAGGCCTGTGGTCAATATTCAGTCCTTGATGGGGCTTTTCTGTAGCACTTGATACTGCTGACCACCTCTCATTTGAAACTTTCTTCTCCCAGTTCCTTTGCACCAATTTTGGCTTCTTTTCTTTGTCTTCATTCATCTCCTAGATCCTGCTGCATCTGCCTCTTAAATGTTCAAGTTCCCTGGGGTTTTATCCTTGGTGGTTTTATCTGCTTAGCCTCTTTGGGGTACCTCAGTACTTCAGTGGCTTCAGCCACCATCCACACATTAATGACCCCCCACATTTCTGAGTTCACATTCATTTTAAATGAGCCTTTGGACATTTCTACTTGGATGACTCCCTCTTAGCTTACTACGGATACCCAAACCGCAGTCTTTCCCCACCCTAGCAAAGTCCTTACCCCCATGCTTCTGCTTCCTTTTCGCACTTGTTCTGTGGCACTGTACTCAACCCTGCCACTCGAGCCAGAAATTCGAGAGTCATCTTAACCCCTTCCTCCGTCAGCGTCATATTTTTAGTTGGCCATTAAGTCCTGAAATTTTAATATCCTAAATAAAAAAAGAAAGGCAGATTTAAAAGCTATTCCACTAACAGTTATTGTGGACTTTATAATTTGTAGTTGGGCCTACAGGTATAATATGAAAGAAAACCATTTATGTAATACACATTTCATGCTAGGCATAACTCTAGGCACTTTTCCTATATTTCTAATTTTCACAACTATTTTGAGGTATATTATTGCTACAAGTTTGAGGAGTCTACGGTTCAGAGAGATTAAGTACATGCCCATGGTCACAGGGCAAGTAAAGTGCACAGGATTTTGGGATTTAAACCTACGAGTTGGTCTCTCTGATGCCAAAGCTTTTACATTTGGTGTCACGCTACTTTATTCAGTCCCGTAATGCTGCAGCGTTATTTTAGTCTTCTGTCAAGTAGGTTGACTTGCTGAGGAAAGGAACTGGGTCTTAATTCAAATATTTGATGATTATTTTCTTACATGGTAGATGCTAAAGAAGTGATTCTTGGTGGAAAGTCCGTGATTGGCATCTTCTGTGGCTTCATCTAGGAACAAGCCCTGTTCTTTTATTAGCTGTATTTTACTGTGTGGACTGAGATAAGGATAGTGGGATCATGGTGTTTATCTTCATGAGGATTTTTATGAGATTCGGATGGGAAAGTGCTTTAAATTTCAGGGGCATTTTTGAAAAATTCTGTTTGGTTGTGGAAGTTGATAATTGACCAGCTTAGATGAGCCTCTCTTGTTTATAAATGACATTGTGTGAAAATATAAATCTTTTGGATTTTGGATGTTCATGCTCATTGAATCTTTCACCTGCAGGTAATAATAAGGGCAGAAAAGGCTCAACCAAGTAAAGACCTTGTTAATTAGAATAGTATACACAGATATAATTTTTGTTATTCTGAATATAACTATTCTAGAACAGATAAGAAGGAAGCCAAGTCTCAGAAGAAACTAGTCTACAGGGGTAGTAGC